GAGTTTAGAAGGGGAAGCGGGATGCCCCTCAAGCTTCCCCCAGTCACCAGCTTCCCTACCCTCAATACTCTCTTCATGCTCCCTGTACCCAAACCCATACCCCTTCATTTTTTTAGTTCAAATCCCTGCTCTGCACTTTCATGGTATGTGACCTTGGGTATGTTACTTAGCCTTTCTGGGCTTGAGTTATCTCATCTGCAACATGGACACAACGAGCTTGGTGCCATCTTCCCCAGAGAAAATGGTAAAGGCCTAGCATACAGTATGAATTTTGGGCATGTCTTCTATATAACATAAATACTCAAGAGTGTTAGAAGTATGTGTTTAATGGGTAGCTCAGTGGTTAAGCGTCTGACTTAGGCTCAGGTCATGATCTCATGGTTCATGGGTTCAAGCCCCGCATGGGGCTCTGTACTGACAGCTCAGGCAGCTCAGAGCCTGGACCCTGCTTTGGATTCTGTGTGTCTCTCTCTCTCTGGCCCTCCTCCACTTGCACTCTGTCTGTCTGTCTGTCTCTCTCAAAAGTAAATAAACATTTAAAAAATTTTTAAAAAAAGAAGTATGTGTTTAAAAATGTCTTGATGGAGAGTGATCCTCAAAAACTTTTGAAATACTATGTGGTGATTAAATTCACAAACTTTGGTATCAGAGAGACATGGGTTTCACCTACAGTTTTTGCTGTGGGACCTTAGGTAAGTCACTTATCCTCTCAGAGTCTCGGTTTATTAGCAAAGTGGTGATGCTAATGAAACCCCCCTTACTGGGCTGGCATATGGATAAAGTGAGATTATTTATGTAAAGAGCTTAACACTGTCCCTGGCTCACTATAATTGTTAACTATAATAATAATTGTTGTCTCTGCTATTTAATTTTGAGCCCACTGGTGTGTGAGGAGGATGCTTGGGAAGCAGCTGTTACTGTTGTCACCTCTGTCTCTGACAGATCTTAGCTTGATGGGAAAGATCTGTCTGAATAGCCATGTGGAAGGCAGTGTGAACCACTTTAACCCCTATGATGCAGGCCCTACCTGCGTAGATCAAAGACTGACAGTTCTCAATTCTGAAATGGTTCAATCATATACTTTACTACCCTCCAGCCCAAGGCACTGTCTAACCCCTCAAAAGAGTAAAAAAAGGCAAAGAAAAATATGCACAAACTTACTAGCAATCAGATAAAGCAAAGTAAAACCAAATGAAGTGCCATTTTACACACAACCATCTGACCGTGCCAAGGGTTGGCAAGGATATGGAGCGAAGGAACTCTCAGGCACTGTTGGGAATGTAAATTGGCCCAAACATTTTGTATAAACAGTTTGGCAATTTTTAGTAAAATTGAAGATGCACATACCTATGAGTCAGCCATTCCATTCTCATGTTTGCACCTACGAAAATTCTCCCACATATGCACAAGAGAACATGTACAAAAAGTCATACCAGCACTTTGTAAATAGCAAAAAACTGGGAGGAAAAAGCTCGAAGAGGAGAATGGATAAATTGTGATATATGCATAAGACGGCATATTATAAAGCAGGTGAAATTAATGGACCTACACATAACAAGGTGGATGAATCTTATCAATACGTTAGGGGGGGAAATTAAGTTGCAGAATAATAGATGCACTTCAATATTATTTATACAAGGCTTGGGGCACCTGAGTGGCTTAGCAGGTTGAGTTTCCAACTCTTGGCTTCAACTCAGGTCATAATAATCTCACCGTTGAGCCCTGAGTCAGGCTCCATGCTGGGCATGGAGCCTATTTAAGATTCATTCTCTCTCTCTCTCTCTCTCTCTCTCCTTCTGCCCCTCTCTACCTCTCAAAAAAATACTACTTATACAAAGCTCAAAATAGGCAAACCACCAATACATATCGCTTAGGGATAAATGCATATGTAGTTATATCTTCAGAAATGAGGAAATGAGGGGTACCTGGGTGGCTTAGTCGGTTAAGCGTTCGACTTTCGCTTAGGTCATGATCTTGCGGTTCGTGGGTTCGAGCCCCGCGTCGGGCTCTGTGCTGACTGCCAGCTCAGAGCCTGGAGCCTGTTTCAGTCTGTGACTCCCTCTCTCTCTGACCCTCCCCTGCTCACGCTGTCTCTCTCTCTCTCTCTCTCCTAGAAATAAATTTAAAAAAAAAACATTTAAAAAAAAAAGAAATGAGGAAATGAAAAATAGCTAATTCTGATTAACGGTTATGTTGGTGATGGGGCAGGGGGAGAAAGATACAATCATGGAGGAGAAAGGCACAAATATATTGGTAATATTTTATTTCTTTCAGTGAGTGGTGAGGAAAAATATGTTTGTAATGAAATTCTTCAGGCATGAAAAAACTCTTCAAATGTGGAATATTTCATAATAACTTTTCATAAAGCCAAGACAGTGCAACTGGCAGTGATTTAACACTTTCCACTCTGCCTAAGTCCCAGTCCAGGAAACAAGATCCCCTTTCTCCTTCGACTAGACCATCTTGATGAGCTGGAAAAATACTCGGTTATTTCTAAGCTAGTCTACAACAATTGAGAGGTGAACATATATTCAGTTCAGAGAATGGGAGCCTACTAGATGTCTGGGGTTTGCCCTGATTCCCCTATGACATCAACTTTCCCTCCAAGGAATAGTATATAAAATAAAGAAGCTAACACGCCCACTTCAGCCCTTTATCTGATCCCATTTCCCAGAGGTAATCTCTATTGACAGCCTCATTCTGGCATTCTTCCTATGTATATACAAATATACAGACACACATATAAATTTTTAATATGAAAATGGAATTATATGTATTACTTGAAGAGAAGTAAAATTTTTAACTAAAATTAGATGGAATTATATTGCATGGATTTTTCCACATTTCCCTTTCTCACTTATCGATATCTCATGTTAGTACATCCACTCATATGATCTGCCACCATCTTCTACCATAATCTATTACTTAAACTTAAAAAATTTTTTTTTGTTTTAGAGACAGAGAGAGCATGAGTGGGGGAGAGGGGCAGAAGGGGAGAGTGAAAGTGAGAGAAAGAGAGAGAGAGAAAAAAAAAATCTCAAGCAGCTTCCATGCTCAGTGCAGAGCCCCATGTGGGGTTTGATCCCATGACCCTGAGACTATGACTTGAGTAGAAATCAAGTGTCAGATGCTCAACCAATGGAGCCACATAGGCACCCTTTAAGCTTTTATTTTTAATTCAACAAAACATATACGATCACATTTTAGGTGCAAAATTTTCAAACAATACAGACAGATTGATAAAACCCATCACAAAATAGACTGAAAAGGCCATTCACAAAATTGCCACCCCTAACACACACACACAAACACACACACACATGTATACACACACTGCACATATATACATGCATGCCCACATATACACATGCATACACACATTCACATTCACATATATACACACACGTGCATACACACACATTCACATACACCCCTACACAAACATACACACATACACTTTAACCTCAGGCTCCTCCCTGGTAATTAATCACTGGAGATAAATCACTGCTATATTTGATGTACATCCTTCTGGATTCATTTACTCCCATAAAGAAACAAGTTGTATAGATGTCATGTGTGTGGCTGACACAGAAATGGTTCTAAAACGTACCTAATATTCTGCAACTTACTCTTGGAGATTTGTGCATATCATAACTATCTTATTCAGTCATCTGTTAGCTAACATTTACTATTTATTATGTGCCCTATTCCAGGCACATAATGGACAGCCTCTTGGGGCTTATATTCTGGTGGGACATTCAGACAATAAACATGTAAATGAACAAGTAATATAATTTCAAGTAGCGCTAAGTAATATGAAAACAGAGAGGGGATTAGGCAGGGGAAGGTTTGTTTCTTTTAACTACTACATAGTATTCCACAGTTCATATCACCACAGTTTGGGGGAGAGTGACTTCCAAATTTTTCTACTTGCTCCCTACAGTAGGAAATACATTTTATTTTTTTTATTAAAAATTTTTAATGTTTTTTGAAATTTATTTTTGAGAGAGTATGAGCAGGGGAGGGGCAGAGAGAGAGGGAGACACAGAATCTGAAGCAGGCTCCAGGCTCCGAGCTGTCAGCACAGAGCCTGAGGCAGGGCTAGAACTCACAGACTGAGAGATCATGACCTGAGCCAAAGTCCGATGTTTAACTGGCTGAGCCACCCAAGCACCCCAAGAAATACTTTTAAACTGCTATTCAAAACCCATCACAGAAACATATATGAAGAAAACTGAAACATACATGTGTACAACTAAACAAATATTTCATGAAATAATGCTTACCCTGACTCAGGAGGATGCACTGAAAATTTTTATTTTGTTCTATTTCATAAAAATAATAACAATAAGAAAAAAACCTTGCTAATCATGACTGTTAAATTGTTTTCATTATCCACCAGTAAATTGTGACCTCAGTTTGAAAAATATTGCTTTAAGTGACCAATCCTTTAATGAGATTTAGATTGTTCATAAATCTCTCCCTTACAAACATCTGCAGTGAGCTGTTTTATACTCATTTTGTAACTACGTATTTCTGAGAGCAAGATCCCTGATTGTGTAATTACTATTTACTTAAAATTCTGATAAATTGTATCCAGCACGTTGGAAAACCAAAACTCTAATCCCCAATCTGTTACCACCATGATGTACAGACTTCTGTTGGGCAAGTCCCTGAACCTCTCTGGGCCTCAGTTTCCCCATCAGTAACCTACTGATCTCTACACCCTAGAGTCTGCTCTAAGTTGAAAGCAGATGCCCCACCCCCTGAGTCAGCATGGGCAGAACTTCTCTCTGATCCCAACTCCCCCTTTTTCCGCTCCCTGTTTGGAAGAGGCCCAGGGAAAAGGGAAAAGGCAGGTCTGGGCCAGAGGACCCGATGCAGGGCGGGGCAAGGGAAGGGCAACAGGGAGGCCAGCCCCCTAGTAGGAAATGAGACGGGTAGGAATAACACTTTATAAGCCTGACGCTCTCTTCCTCCTCCTACCCCCTGGCCACCTTCCAGCCTCCTCTGTGCAGCCTCCTCGCCTTCCAGACAGTCCTTATTTCTTTTCTCCCTAGGCTGCAGCCAGCCTGAGCCCTCTTCCTGCCAGAGCCAGGAGCCCAGGTGGGGTAAGAACCTCAGCCCCAGGATGTTGACAACATTGCTGCCACTGCTGTGTCTACTGTTCCTGCCTGGCTGGGCCTTTTGTAGCCAGGAAGCCTCAGATGGTGAGTCAGGGGTACATCTCCTGCCCGGGGATGGTTCTGGAGGCTCTCTGCCTGTCTGGGTACATGGGAAAGATCAGAGGAGAGCTTATCCCACAGCGTCTGTGCCTGCCGCCAGCCAGATTTCTCTGTAGACTAGGCAGGGTCCTGGGGACTGATTTGTGTCCCAAAGCCAAGGTGAGGAAGTACAGTTCGGCCCCAGGGAAGGGGGAGATGGGAGGAGGCACGGAGTGGAGGGTGGGGGGATGGGAGGGGGGAGGGGGGTGAAACAGGACTGGAAAAATCCAAAGGGATGGGTAGAAAGGGTAAGGGAATTAGCCCCAGGGAGAGGGGGTGATTCTGGAGAGGGAGAGCGGAGGGTGACGGTGGATGGGGGTAAGTCCAAGGAAGACGGGATGAGGTGAGAGATGGAAGGAATGGGAAGCCACCTGAGACACTGAGGCAGAAGAGGAGACTGGAGAAGGTGTAAGATGGGTGGCAGCTGTGGGGAAGGGGGGAAAGTCGGGGGAAGAAGAAGCTGTGGTCATTGGGAAAACTCAGGGGGTCAGGCCGCCTGAAGTGGCTGTTTAAGCAGGGAAAGGAGTTATTGCCCTGCATGGTGACCACACAGGTACCTCTTCTCCCCTTTCCCATAGGCTCTGTAGCCTCAGTCTCCCTCTCTGAGGGAGCGCTCACTACAGTTAATATGCACACTGAAACATCTAACTCCCATAATATCTCTACAAGACAAGCAAAATGATTATCTCTCTTTTACAGGGGAGGATACTGGGCACAGGGCATTTAAGAACCTTATCTATGGCTACCCACACAGATATACTTATTCACACCTGCAGACACAGAGCACACCTTTTCAATTGCAAAGGTGGACAAGACATATCCACACACAGAAATTTGCAACCCCAGATTTGCAAACACACATTCTCTGGGCATCAACCCGGTGCCAGGGCCTTAACAGGTGTAGGAGGCAGAGATAAGCAGACGTGATTCTATAGCCTAGGCGAGCCCAGTAGAGTCTGTGTATTTGGAGACAGTTAGATGGAATCTGGGATCATTGAAACAGACCCGCTGTGTCCGGAAGGGTAAAGAGGAGAGGCATCAGGAAAACTTCTCCAAGGAGAGGGCAACAGAGCTGAGTCTTGAAGCATGAATAGAAGTTTGCTTGAAGGCAGAGAGACTCTGACATGGTATTCATGCCAAAAGGCAGCCCGAGGAACTCCAAGTAGTTTACCGTATATAAATACTAGAAGAGGTTAAATATGGCCATTGGTGCCTGTTCTCTGGCAGCCTTGAATGCCAAGCTAAAGACTTTGGACTTCATTCTGCGGACAGATATCCTGTGGGGAGGCAGTATGGCTGGGTGGTTAAAAGTGCTGGAATCACACTGCCTGCACTCAAACCTTGGTTCTGCTACATCATTTTATTACTTTTTAAAATTTTTAATGTTTTATTTATTTCTGAGAGAGGAGAGAGACAGCGTGAGCAGAGGAGGGGCAGAGAGAGAGAGAGAGAGGGAGATACAGAATTCGAAGCAGGCTCCAGACTCTGAGCTAGCTGTCAGCACAGAGCCGGGGCTCGAACCCACCGACCGTGAGCTCGTGACCTGAGCCCAAGTAGGACGCTTAACCGACTGAGCCAGCCAGGTGCCCCTCTGCTTCCATTATGGACTGAGTTTAATCACAGTAGCTACTGCAGGAAGGTAATGGGAGGAAGGCACAAATAAGATAATAATGTGTGTAAGGTACAGTGCTTGGGTCATAATAAGTACTTAATACCATTATTATTATTATTAATGATTTTGACAGGGGAGTGTGTCACTGGAGGATTTTAAGCAAGAGAGAATAATCTTATTTCTGGGTCAGATAGAGGTCAGATTAGAAAAAGTGAAACTCAAAAATGACGGCAGGCAGGGAGGTGAGGAAGGACGTTACTACCCAAAATGGACACCGATGAGGCCTGAGGTAGGGCAGTGGCAGAGAACAGAAGATGGACTGGGATTTTACTGTAAGTCAGGATTTGTTGGCCAACTGGAAATGGGGGTAGTTATGGAGTGAGAGCCAGAAAGATGGGAGTGGCTCTTTCACTGACTCGATTACCCTGAGGCAAGGGGCTTCTGCTCTTTCTAGCCTGTTTCCTCATCTGTAAAACGAAGATAATAATCCCTCTCCTGCCCTCCTGACAGGGTTATGGGAGGAAGAGTGGGGGAACACTTTTTAGTTTACGAACGGCCAAGAAGGTGGGCGGCCGGCCTTTAGGTAGGGGGTTATTATCTCCAGCTACACGCCGGCCAAGGCCTGACGCGCTGACACCGCCCGGCAGGCCTTCGGAACCTCCACATGCTCCAGATCTCTTACTTCCGCGACCCCAATCAAGTGTGGCACCAGGGCAACGCGTCGCTGGGGGGGCTACCGACGCACGTGCTGGAAGGCCCGGGCACCAACGTCACGATCCGCCAGCTGGAGCCCTTGCAGGAGCCCGAGAGCTGGGTGCACACAGAGAACAGTCTGAAGACCTACCTGCACCAGTTCAGCAGCTTGGTGCTGCTGGTGCACCAGGAGCGAAGCTTGACCTGTGAGTCGCGCGCGCGCGCGCACGCGGCGGGGACTTCCAGGGCCGGAGGCGCGGGCTGTGGGCGGGACTCGATGGGGCGGGCCTGTGGGGGAACGGGGTGGAGCTTATGGAAGGGACGGGGCTCCCGGAGGCTTCTTGTGGATGGCTTGGTCTTGTGTGAGCCGGCTGCTCTAAGGAGTCCAGTGGTACCAGGGCACCTGCCTTTGCTAATTGCTGGGTGGGAGCTTGAGCCTGAAGAGGACTGAGTGTCCTAGTTGCGGGCCCTCCGTCAGGCCCTCTTTTTGCTGGCATGACCTCGGGGCAAACCCTGTTGGGATGCCCTGTCCCTGATTCGCCCGAAACACTAAAAGTTCATGTTCTCCCTGGTGGACATGCTCCCACACCTGGCATCCTCTCCAGACAGTCCTCTCACCCTGAACTCCCCCATCCACAGTTCCTCTGATCATTCGCTGCTTCCTGGGCTGTGAGCTGCATCCTGAGGGCTCTACAGCCCGTGTCTTCTTCGAAGTGTCTGTGAATGGGAGCTCCTTTGTGCGTTTCCAGCCCGAGACAGCTTTATGGGTGGCAGGGCCCCAGGCACCCTCCAGGGTGGTCACCTACACCCTGCAGCAGCTCAACGCCTACAATCGCACTCGGTTCGAACTGCGAGAATTTCTGCAAGACACCTGTGTGCAGTATGTGCAGCAACACACCACTATGAACGATTCGAAAGGTATGATGGGATCGGGGATGGGCCTGTGTGCTGTTGGGTGGGTTCCAGGCAAATGGGTAGACCTGAAGGCTGGATACCTTGAGCAGCAGGAGGCTCGGGGCTGGAGGGGTTGGGACAGAGTATACATAGCTTACATCACTTGGTGAACTAGCCCCCTTCCCTTGGGGTAGAAATCCCTTAGGGTTTGACTTAAACCATGGACTTCTTGGGGATATGTTCTTCAAGGCTAACTCTGTGCATGTTCTACAGGGAGCCAAACAGGCCGCTCCTACACCTCGCTGGTCCTGGGTGTCCTGGTGGGCAGTTTCATCATTGCTGGTGTGGCTGTAGGCATCTTCCTGTACACAGGTGGACGGCGGTGTTGATTGCTCTCCAGACCCCTCTGAAAAAGGGCTGGACTGATGGGGGCTGATGAGGGAAGATCTCAGCTCAATGCAAAACCACACAGATTCCCTATCTGGGACATTATATCCCAGAAGGTTTGGAGTGGCAGCCCCTTTCTTCTCCCTGTCTGACCACCAAGAGTTTGGGGGAGGGAAAGGGAAGGGAGGAAGCTAGGTAGACAGAGTTCTTGGTTTGCTAAGCACCTAAGAACTTGCATGCTTTCGTGAATTGTTCTGAGAAGTGAATGCTTATCTATCTTTGTGGAAAACAGATGATGGAGTTGGGTGGGGGTGGAGGGTGTCTGTGGCATGTCCTCCAAAGACAGACTCACCCAAGGCATTCAAAACACCTAACAAATACAAGAAGTCCATCAACCAAAATAAACACCACTCGACGCTTCCAGGCATATCAGACTTGGGAAGGGATGCTGGTATAGTAGAGGTAGAAAGAAATAACCAGAGAAATGGCTGGAGTATAAACTAAAATATGGGAGCAAAGAGCTATTAGTTCATTAATAACATTATTAATAAATTCCTTACTTATGTAGATGGTATTATTCTTTCCTCTACTTTGCAAAACTTCTGGAAAAGTAGACTATACCTTTTGTCTTTATTTTATTTTGAGAGAAAGAGTGTCAACAGGGGAGGGGCAGAGAGAAAGGGAGACACCAAATCTGAAGCAGGCTCCAGTCTCTGAGTTGTCAGCACAGAGCCCAATGTGGGGCTTGAACCCACAGACTATGAGATCACGACCGGAATGGAAGTTGGACGCTTAACTGACTGAGCTACTCAGACACCCAGTAGACTATACTTTTGCTTCTACTTCCTCCTCTCCAACTCACTCCTAAACCACTGCCACCTGACTTTCCTATAAACTGCTCTAAGATCATCAATGACCTCTAATTGTGAAATCTCCATTCCACATGATGCATGCAACATTTTCCTTTGTGGGCTAGAATTCTCTGTTTACCTTAACTCCTGTGATTCCATACTTCTAATTTTTAGAAACTGTTCTGGCCACTCAGTCAATCCCTTTGCCTTTGTCATCTTACTCAATTCACCTTGAAATCATGGCTTCTTTTGACTTCCATTTCTTTGGCTTTTTGGTCCCATTTAAACTGTACCATTTGTGGATGACCTACTTATAATCGTGGCTTCAAATGCCATAATCTATCTCTGGTATTTTCCCTGGGGAAGCAATATAATCGTGTCTTTAGAAGCAGGTGTTTTGCTACCAAACAGATTTGAGTTTTACTTCTTTGAGCCAAGCATTTAACTTCTTGAAGTCTCAGTTTCTTCATAAAGGAAGGGTATAATAAAATGTACAAAATGGGTATAATAAGAATAACACCTACCTCATAGAGGCATTATGAGATTATATACGAATATATGTATGTATATTCAATAAATATAGCACTTGTTGCTGACCTCCAGACCACATATTTGCATTGATTTTTGAAAATCATCTCCACCTTAATATTTTGCAGACATTTCTGAGTCGATATGTTCTAAATCAAATTCCTTATCTTTCTCCCCAAACCTGTTCTCTCTTCTCTGTCGTTTACTATCAGTTAAACAAAATTACTATCAAACCATAGCAGTGTAGAAACCTAAGTGTTGACTTTTATTTACTCGCTCTTCATCCCCCCCCCTACAAAATATAATATCTGTAGAATCAAATCCTTCTTTTCCACTCTCTTGCTTTTTATTATAAGATATGGTAATTCAGCTGTTTCTCTTTGGTAGATACACAGAAGTACCAGTTCTACTGGGTGTTTAGCTATAGGGCGCTTAAGCAGCAGATAGCCTCAAGCTGCCTAAGTGTCAGTTCCTTCAGTGTCTGCCTCACCTGCAGAGAGCAGTCCTGTACAGGGTCTTGTACCGCTTGGGGCTGTCCTCATCCAGTGACTGAGCAAAGCAGGGGTGTAAAGGCTCAGTCGGTCTCGCCCACTGCAGGGCAATTCTGATAAGCAGTATTCACTCCAGAGCTCCTTGCCAGGTTGGCTGGGTATCTGTTAGATCTACACTGCAGTTTGACTTCTCCCTGTATTCAGTCCTCCTCCTCTCCCTAGTTAATATCTTCCATCTCAAACTGTCTCAGCATCTGCTTCCAGAACACCCAAACTGCGACTGACAATCTTCCTTCCTTTTCTTCTTTTTTCTCTCTCTCTCTGTCTCCAGATTGAGAAATTTTCTCAATCCTGTATCTGGACCATAGCAGTAGTCTCCTCCTAACTCCTCTCTTGGTTTCTAATTTCTCTGAGTTCTAATTCATCTACATGGCAATAAAAAAATAAAAATCAAAAAAAGCAAACATAGATCTGATCATGTCATCATTGTTCTGCTTTGTAAATTCCCCATACGTACTGAGCTAACTTCAGAATCTTCAAAATGACATTCAAGGATTTGCATAATCTGGCTTCATCCTAACTTTCAAATTGTATATTCTACCACTTTTCTTTACCCAACTGTGTTTTAGGTTATCAATTTTTAAAGCATATATATATTTTTTAAAGTTTTTATTTATTTTTGAGAGAGAGAGAAAGAAAGCAGGGGCAGAGGGCAGAGAGAGAGAGGGAGACAGAGGATCCAAAGTGGGCTCTGTGCTGAAAGTAGAGCCCCATGTGGGGCTCAAACTGAAGAACCATGAGATCAAGACCTGAGCCAAAGTTGGACACTCAACCGACTGAGCCACCCAGGCACCCCTAAAAGTGTATATTTTTAAAATGTTTATTTATTTATTTTGAGAGAAAGAGAGAACAAGCAGGGGAGGGGCAGAAGGAAAGGTTGAGAGAGAATCCCAAGCAAGCTCTACATTGTCTGTGTAGAGTGCAACATGTGGCTCAATCTCACAATCGTAAGATCATGATCTGAGTGGAAATCAAGAGTCAGATGCTTAACTGCCAGGGCTGCCCAGGTTCCTCTTAAATGACAGAAGTAATACAACAATATTAGCAACATAGAGATTTACAAAGAAAGTTTGACAAAGAGAAAAATGAAAGACCTCTGCTTTCTCCTTTCCCCAACCCTAACCTGAATGGTATGCAAGATTCCTACTTAATTTTAAGCAACAGAAACCAACTCTGCCAACCTAAGAAGGAAGTAAATATATTGGAAGGTTATCAAGTAATCCTCAGTTTGATAGGAAGGCCAGCTAAATAAGCTTGGAAAATAGAACCAGAAATCTCTCACAACAGAGGAATGGTCTAGTGAAGTATTCCACAGCTAGAACCACTCCCTCCATCACCACTGCATGCTGCCATCTTAAGTGAATTCTATTCTGTCCCCTGTTTTGTTTTGTTTTTTTTTTACACTATTTATTCAAGACTCAAAGTCCTGGTGGGAATGTCCAAATGATCAAACCTTTGCCTTGGCTGCAAGAGGGGGAAAGAGAAACTTCATGAGATGTAGCAAGATTAGGGGGAAATGTATAGCAGTAAGTGCCTATATTAAAAAGAAGAAATATCTCAAATCAATAACCTAACCTTCCACATAAAGAAGGTAGAAAAAAAGGAGTGATCTAAACCTAAATCAAGCATGGAAGTAATAAGTATTAGAGCAAATAAATAAACTAGAATCTAGAAAAACAATAAAGAAAACCAACAAAACCTCTTTTGCTGAAAGGTCAATAAAATTGACAAAACTTTACCTAGACTTACCAATAAACAAGTGAGAAGATCAAATTACAAAAATGTTACAGAAATTACATTAGAGAATAAAAATGATTATAATGAATACTATAAACAACTATCTGCCAACAAATTAGATAACTTAGATGAAATGGACAAGTTTCTAGAAAGACACAGATGCAGAAGAAATAGAAAATCTAAGTAGATGTATAACAAATAAAGATATTGAATTAGTAATTTTAGAACTTCTGCAAAGAAAAACCCAGGCCCAAATTAATGCACTGGTGAATTCCATCACATTTCAAGAAGAATTAACATCAATCTTTGATAAACTCTTGCAAAAATTAAGAGAAAAGAAAACTTTCCAGGACATTCTATGAGGCCAGTATTACCTTGACACCAAGACCCTGTAGAGACATCAGAAGACACCACAAATATATCATGAATATAGACACAAAAATCCTTAATAAAATGCTAGCAAACTGAATCCAGCAATAAACAAAAGGTACTATACACTGTGATCAAGTGAGATTTATCCCAGGGATGCCAAATTGGTTCAACATATGAAAGTCAATCAATGTAACATACCATCTCAATAAAATAAAGGACAAAACTCACATGATCATCTCAATAGATGCAGAAAAAACATTTGATAAAATCCAATACCGTATCATGATAATAACACTCGACAAACTAGGATTACAGAGGAATTTGTTCAACCTGATGAAGGTTATCTAAAACCCCACAACTAACATCATATTGAAACATCCCCCTAGAATCAAAAACAAGACAAGGATTTCTGCTCTTTCTACTTGATTTCAACATGTACTATATTAGAGATTGTAGCCTGAGCACTCAGGCAAGAAAAAGAAATAAAAGCCATCTGAATTGGAAAGAAAAATAGTAAAGGTATACCTATTCAGAAATGACATGACCTTGTATATAGAAAATCCTAAAGAATCTACCAAAAAAAGTCAAACTATTAGATCTAACAAGTTTAATAAAGTTTCAGGATACAATATCAATACATAAAAATCAATTGTATTTCTATGCATAACAATGAACAATCCAATAATGAAATGTAAAAGAGAATTCCATTTACAATAACATGAGAATATTTTACATTTAAAAATAAATTTAACAAAAGAAGTGTAAGATGTGTACACTGAATACAAATACTTATTGAAAGAAATTAAAGATAAATAAATGGAAAAGCATCCTGTATTTATTGACCAGAGACTTAATATGTAAAGATAGAAATTCTTCCCAAACGAATCTACAGATTCATTGCAATTTCTATTAAAATCCCAGATGCCTCTTTTTTTTTGCAGAAATCGATAAGCTGATCCTGAAGTTCATATGGAAGTGCAAGGAACCCAGAATAGATCCCAAGGAAATATTGAAGAAAACAAAACAAAAAAAGCTGAGGGAGGACCCATACTTCTTGATTCTAAAACTTACTAAATAGTTACAGTGATCAACACAGTGTTCTACTGGCATAAAGACAAACATATAGATCAATGGGAGAGGACTGAGACTCCAGAAATAACTCCTTACATTTGTGGTCAACTGAATTTTCTACAAGATGTTAAGACAATTTGATGGAGAAGGAATCATCTAAGTGGTGCTGGAACAAATAGTTATCACCATGCAAAAGATGGAAGTTAGAGTCCTAATTCAAAATGGATCAAAGACCTAGATATATGATCTAAAGCCATAGATCATATATTGGGGCACATGGCTGGCTCATTCAGTGGAGCATGCAACTCTTGATCTTGGGGTTGTGAGGTTGAGCTCCCTGTTGGGTGCAGAAATTACTTAAAAATAAAATCTTTTGGGGGGCTAAACATCCAACTTCGGCTCAGGTCATGATCTCATGGTTTGTGGGTTCAAGGCTTGAATCAGACTCTGTGCTGAC